CGAGTGCATTGCACCCCCGTCCGTCCCGACGGGGGTTGGATCGATCGCGGGCGTTGGCGCCGAGGTCACCGGCTCGCCTTGCTCGGAGTAATGACCCTCACCCAGTGCAGTGCAATGGCATCGGCGAACGGCACCTTTCCTGGGAAATCGCGGGGGTGGTTGTCGTAGACGTGGGTGCCTCTACGTCGTCGACGCTATGCGATCGCCTCGTCTCGAATGCGGCGACGCGGCAAGGAAGGGGTAAAAACGCGGTTATCGGCGCTGCGGGGGTGGTACTTCCACCCTCTCCACTCCCTACACCGCCACTGATGTTGATGAATCCCCAGCGCAGGATCGCTGGGACCTTAAACTTGGGGGAGGGAGAGGGGGAGGTCGATCATCGAACTCAACCTTCGCAGTGACCGCGATCGCGACACGTTTTTGCTTGCTTTTGCGCGAGAATGTCCAGATGAAACCGTTGCTTTCAGGCTAGAAACTTGAAGATTTTAATTAATTATAAACTTTCCGCTCACTAAATACATTGAAATACTTCAGACTTTACAATTAAATAAATTCTGTAATTATTATATTGAACAGTTTTTAAAAAAATTGTATTAAAATTGAAATATCATGATTATGTATGACATTCTACAATTTATACACGTATATTAGGGTCTCGAAGCAATAATCATACAACTCAAAGGACTTGAGATAGATTGAACAAAATTTCCCTTTGATTCTTTTCTATGTAACGGATAAGAAAACGTCAAAGCTATTATCGTGAAGCGATAATGACTAAAATGACATGTGTAAAGTCACCCTCTCGAGTCTCACCGGAAGTTTGCCATCGCAACAGAGAGTCTCAGTTACTTGGGAGTCGTACAATCACCTCCCTCGCTCACTTTTCGCGGAAATGCGACTTCGCATAATGCGAATCGAAAAGAGGAAGGGGGAACGTTGATGCGGTATCACATGCAATAGTGACCGCAAGGGAGAATGACTAGGTCATTCCACCCTGTTTTCTACCATCTAGCGATCGAGGGTCATTGCGAGACAGCGAACCTTTCGAATGGCCACTATCGCCAATGTCCTGTCACTTTCGATCCACTTTTATAGAGGAAATACTAACATAATAGCATCAAGGAACACAATTGAAGAACAATTCGCATGATATCGGATCAATACAAGAATAATATGCTGTTCTTTTTCGAAAAATATATTTTTATCCTATTTTCAATTATTTTCTCTATCTTCAATTAAATAGGATGAAATTATTTGAATGAAATTAAATAAAATTGAATTGTAAAGTTTTGTAAACCTTTGGACGTTTGGACGTTTGGACTCAAGTTTTATCTCATATATACCTTAATTTTGAATCAGAAAGATAAACTTTGAATTTCTTTAGAATTTTAAACGATATAATAAGCTTCTTATGTAATTCTTTAGATAATTATAAATTATAATTCATTGGAAATATATCGAAAAATTAAATAAAAATTAATTTCTCTTTGTTAGCAGGGAGATTTTCGTATGATATGTTTACAATAAATTTATATTTTTTTATTACGATTATCGATTATTATTCCTGAAATATGCTATAAAAGCTGAACATTATAAACTACAAATCGTGAATCGAATTGATTGATATGTTACATGACAATAAAATTCTACATTTAAATTACTTATAAGATTTTATTATGATTTTGGAATAAATTATAATTAGGTGCATATTACACACAAACTTTTTATTCAAAACTAAAGACGATAGAGCAAAAAACTGTCAAATGTCTGGTTTCATTATACAACGATAAGATATTGCGATAAAAAGTAAAAAATATTATATCGCTTTATAATCGTAATCAAACGAAAAATGCAATCGCTCAAATCTACTTAAACTTTCGAGCTGTTATCGGAGCAACAGGAAAATTTGACTTGAAATAAGACATCTGTAAACATGATATTTGATAAATTTTGATGGAAAAGCTGTGAGAGGGCAAATGTACTTTATGATAAAAAAATGTATAACGGTTTTTATTAAATAAGTAAATTTGATTCAGCAACAAAATTCCTTTTAATATTACTTTAAATAATTATTTAATTATAAACTTTGTACAAAGAAGCAATGTCTCGATATTTATCAGAAAATAAATTTGTAAGGTCGACTGCATAACGTTTGTCTCTAAGCTATTTCCGTGCATAAGGCAATAAATGGACGCATCGTACTGAATTGTATCGTAATGTTTTTCTTTTATTATGAAATATATATATCTGACAGGAAGAAAGTTTAACTTATCATTTTCAAGGAAAGATACGTTTTTTTCTTAAAAAGCCCTATGTTTGAGAGACCTTTAGATCTCAGATCTAAACTGTATTTGCCCTTCTTATCATAGCGCATACCAAACGCGGGCACTTGATGCACACATGTTGCGCGCGCGTGAGACACGCACACGCGTACGCACAGACAGACCTTGGCTGAAGGGTGTCTGCGTCCATGATACACGTTGCGGGATGCGACGTGATGCACACCCTTTGATATTAATGTCTCTAACGCTCGATTAGATTCTATTGGTTTTTACGTAACGCACTTTGTTATTATAATACATTACTGAATGCTAATTTTATTATCATATAATACTGGATTATCGAAGGCAATTTTTTAAAAATTATGTGGTTAATTGCTTTATGTTATGTGCTTTATTATCGACCAAAATTTGTTATTCTATCGAAAATAGTGTTGCTATAATCGAATAAAATAAAATTTACTTTTTAAAAATAATAGATAAAAGGGCAGGCATAATTAAAAGGTTTTTAATGTTGAAAATTAAAAGAATTCGAGAAGACTTAATATTTATCAAAAGAAATATTCAGAGAAAATTCCCTTGCTCTCATTAGCAAGTTAAAATGTATGATGACACACCGAATCGTCACGTCACTGAGCCTTGGCCTCCAGTTAGGAGATAATACACAACGTCGATAAGATGTAGACTATTTTAAAATATAACGACTTGACCCACTCGAGATCAACAACGGAATCGTTTGCATTCTCTCGTCTACCTGAAAGTCCTCTCCTAATCGCGTTCGGTCTACAATATAATTGTCCTTATATAGGATATTTCTAACATTCGGACATACACGTTGTAGTAAAAATTTATTTAGATTATTTATTTTCATTCAGATCACGCATAAATTATTCAAGTCTAATTCTATAACTTTTAATGATGATCCAAATAAAATATAAGATATATAAATTTTAATTTTTTTAATTTTGTAAGGTGACGCTTTTCGGCAAAGTATCTCTTCGTTCTCATCATCGTTTTAACAATCAGTTTAAATTTCTTGTTGTCATTACGATAACGCGTAGCCTTGTTCAAGATCTTCCAATGTATTTTTACAATTGCGCGACATCGTCGCCGATTTATTTGTCTTTCATCGATTTATCGGCGACGAGAAACAATGAAGATTGTATATTATGAATCGACGACAAATTTACAAAACTCACGCACTCATGCGTGGTCACGTAACGCGTTAATTAACTTTCTAAAAGCGCGAAATTGAAGGCGTGAATGCAATTCTTCGATAAACTGGGACCAATAAATTTGAATTTTTTAATTTCTAATCGGCCTTCGATTTTTCTGAATATAGAAAATAGTTTATTTCTTAAGAGGAAATTGCCTTATCCTTGTACCTAGACCTCCAATTTGTCGATCGCTCTAGCATGCAGCTTGTGTAATTTCCACGCGGTTGGTTCCGATTATGTCTCTGCGTATAAGATAAGATTGTTGATTCGCTGCACAATGCGTGTCGGCGGTCTTTCGGAATACTTTTCGATATTTCTCACGGTCAAGGTCGCGCTCTGCGTCACCGACGAATTTATATTTAGAAAGACGATTTAAAGAGCCGACTCTCTCTTTCTTTCGTATTAACATAGATCGTAGACGTCGCGGCCGCCCGGCTGTCCTCGAACTTTACCGAATTCCAATCCTCGTAGATGCGCGATTTTTTTTTTCGCGAGCAAAGTCAATCGCTGACAGCGAGACACGAAACATAAAAGAAAAATATGCGCGTCATAATCCTTTCACCACAGACAGCCTTGATCATTTGCCACCTCATTTACGAGGACAGACCGACCGTGTTCCGGGATTAAATTATCATGCAGGAAAATGATTGCTTGTTTCGACGTATAAATATTTTTCGGGCGTCTCAATTTAACATAATCTCCTTCTCGTCAATGTCATCTCTTCTCTTTAATTTCTTTCTCGCTCCATGTCCGATTGCGTTCAACAGACAACAGTGCTTAGCGGAACTTATCGTTAATGAACCTTACCAACGTAAACACACAGTCGTATCATCTGGAATATAAAACAGTTCTGCGAAGTCTGAGAGAGCGGTGATTCGCGCCAAAGAATTCTCCGGCTACATCCGACCAGTCGACGCCTCGAAATTTATGGCCATCGTTGCACCGCGGTATGCAAATTTTGTCCGGATCTCCCACAAGTTGGTCGTTTTTTAAACCGCTTTTTATGGCCCGATGATCTCTACTTGTGCCACGAAACAGTACATAAGCCGCGCTTGCGTAAGCCGTTGCTCGTAAACCGAATGTGAATGTACTCGTGAAATGTGTATCAATGTGTGTCAATGTGAGTCTCGATGAACGGTGAAAGTCACCGTGTATCGGTTTTACGAGAGCGCACGTTTCATCATTTATACAAAATGTCTTATAATAATTGTCTTTTCCTCATCGCAAATTTAAAAAATGCTACCATTTTTAAATCTCTCGAACAACTTTCCAACAATATCTACATATTTTTCTCTCTTTTAAAAAGTGAAAAGTCGGAGAAGCATACAATAATGTTACATCTTCGAGACGCAAAGACTCTGCTAAAAATAATTTTTACAGGAGAACTTAAACATAGAAGCGGAAAAACGATTTTTAGAGCTCGTGTGGATATTTTGGATCTTTGTGTATCTAGATGCACGCCACAGAATACAAGTAAGAAAAAAAAAGTAAACAGGCTCCTCACCGAGATCGGGAATAGAACTGGTGGGTTCCTCGTGATGGCCCTTGCTCTCGTTGGAGGTCCTCGCTCTGGGAGGCGGCGGTGGCGGCGGTGGTCTCATGCTGGAAGTCGAGCTGACTACGACTGTGGCGGGTGGCGGCGGAGGTGGACCGCCGTTTCTTCCGTGATTAGCGCGTATCTGGGACTGCGGTGACATCAGCACTGTTTCGCCCCGCGCGTGCCCCTGGGGCGGGCGGGGGCACCAGCCATGCAGCACCCTTATGGCGCTGCGTACTTCCGCCTGCAATTCGGCGGTCCTATCTCTAGCCGTGTGAGCCACCTTCGTTACGGGGAACCCGCGCTATCGCGGGTTACACGAGAATCACGCGAAAGATAACACTCTCGTAGGCCGACTCGTGCTTGCGTCCACTTCACTCACGTAACACGTATAAATACATGTATAATGCACTAGAGTCACGTTACGAATACACTTTGATCAGTCATCGAGTCTTATAAAAGCATTCCGCTCCAATCTCTTTTCAAGCGATGGCGAATTTGATAAACAGTTAGGATAAATTACGCTCCGTCATCGGTGCACTCTTTCACCGTAAATCCAACGGTCACACTTCCAAGGTTCCACTTTGGAGAACGCTAATGAGCTAATCACTTTTTGTCACGAATGCATCTCTTTCTCGCTGCTCAAGTCCGTCGAGTGACAGTTCAATCCGGAGAACACCGCGAGTCATACTTTCCGCGGCGAATCAGCTTCGCTCTATCTCCAGATCCATCAGCTACAAATTGGACTCGGAGAACGTTTTCAGCCGCTTTCGCTCGCGAATGCAATCCGTCATCATTTTCTCGATCGACCGAATATCCGATAGAATCACGCAGGGTCGTCCCTCTCGCGCGCACTCCCGGCGGGTTGATTCAAGTGTCACGGTCAATGTCTCACGGTGGCGCGTGACAGGTGTCCGCGGGAAATCGTCGCTCGCGATACCGATCACGGAGTCGTGCGCGAAAGGAGCGCGCGAATTAGCGGGACGCGAGGAGCGAGCGCGCGCTTCGCAGCCTTTCGATCGTGTGAATGAACGTTTCTTAGGAGAGTTGGCCGAAAACAACAGTCCTCTCGGCACACGCGTCGTCCCTCGCGAGTCAGCGCCGACCTTCCCTTCTCTCCTACCACCCAAGCACCCACCACTTTCTCGCTCCCTCCCGGCGCGTCACTCTGCCCCACTCACGGTCAGTCTCCCCGTGTCTCTCACCCTCGTGCGCGCTGGAGCGAGAGAGACCGAACCGCCTCTGCGTCTACGCTCTATCGCCGGCACAAAGGCGAGCGGCAACCCTCCTCCCCCTCCCTCTCTCCCTCTCGTCGCGAGAGCCACGCCGAGATCACGCTGTCAAAACAAGACGCCTGGCGTCTAGGTCGCCCTCGACGACGACGGAAATGTTCTCACGTGGTCGGCTCGCTTCAGACGTCGTCTGCGCGCGCGTGCTACCCGCTCGCCGGATAGCGGTACCGGATGCGGAAAATCCGCGTGCGGCCGCGCAAACTGGCGTACGTAGCGGTGGTTAACGTATACGTGATCGCTGATGCACAACTCTCGGACGGCGACGAGCCGACGACGCCGAGAACCGTCATCGGCGCCGGCGAAAGTGAGAGTGTGCCGGTCGCGGCGGATTCAGTGGTGCATAAGCACGGCGGGCGCCGCCGTCATCTCGCTCCCTCTCGCGTCGCCAGGCCGTTCCCTCCCTCTCTCCCGATCCGGGCTCTCTTCTCTCTCTCGCGCTCACCCTCGTCCTCGTTCTCTCTCTCCCGTCCCTACGGGCAGCCTACAGCCGCCGGCGAGCAGAAGCGTGCACGCTCTCGACCTATAGCGTCCGATGTGCCGGCGCGCTATCCGCGCGTATATAAAGCGGCTGCTCGCGCGATACGACCCCACACACCGAACCACGCGACACATGGTCACCCTCCGACTTCGCCCTTCGCTCCTCGCTCGCCCTCCTCTCTTCCTTCCGTGGCTTTCGTACGCGTGAAAGACGCGACCCCCGGATACAACCTCTTGCCATTGAATTCGCGCGCGAAACAATGCGTCTTGTATAGAACTCTAATATTTCATTATCGGAATTAAATCGCGAGACTAATGGAAATAGGTGTCGATTGCTTTAAATGAGATGATAAATGTGAGCAATTGTGCAAGATGCGCGAAATGAATGACTGATTTTTTGGAGAGTGTCCTTCAAGTTTCACGTTTAGATTGACGCCACTTCCGTCACGCTTCGCTCGTGACATTAAGAAGGGATTCTTTCGACGCTGCATCGACAAAGGGCCGAGTTGCGCGTTAATCCGCCCCTGCGTCAGCGATAGGCAGGGGTGGTTCGGTGCGCGCCGCGGTTGCGCGTCTGCTATCACATGGCCTTGTCCTTGAATGAGGCTTGTGAACCCGACTGCCGCTTTTATCGATCAGCCCCCGCATCCCGCTTCGACGCACTCGCTATAAGCATCCATCTATCTCGGTGCAATGGCGTATCTAGCAAAGGACGCTCCCAAGATCATTAGCGATTACTTTGGTCCTTACGTGTCTTAATATCCCGATAATTTAAATTTTTTATTTATATCGCACGTTTAATTAGCTGAAATGCAGATGCGTGATTCTTAGCTTACGGAAATATTTGTATGATTTGGGATAAGTAAAATTAAATATAATTCAAAGACTTTTAACAATGGCTAAGGACCGATGCTAAAAAAATTTCCAGGAGACATAATAAGTATCCAATGAATAGCATACACGGAATATTTAACCAGAGACAACAAGAGCCAGACATAAGCCGAAATAATAAAATTTGCATACATTCGTGTATGTCGATATGTATGTAGATCGTAGAGCGTATTTTAGGGTTAAAACGAGATCCGCTTTTTAACCACCGCAAAACTTCACATAAAAGATTCACACTGAAACTGAGCATGCTTCGAAGGAGCCACTAAAGGGTTAAACGTACCTAATGTCTGATTCCACTTTTCGTCACTGTGAACTAAACCGGACATGCATCGTGCAACGACATCCGTCGTGTCTCTCTATTCTTAGGACGAGCCGTAATTTCTAAGACGAGTCCCCCTCGAGTCGCGCCGCAGAAGAATGGAACATAATAAGTATAATGGTGTGAGCATTAAATCCTTCTGAATTTCGACCGAGAATCCCTCTAGAATTTCACCGGACGTTCTAGGACACTCCCGACGAAGGTCAAGGCCTCTCTGGACAAGGATCGGCGAAAATCCTACTATCCCTACATGTCGCTCTGTCAGTGACACGACTCATCCAACTTGCAACTCCTTGCAAGGAACAAGCGGATGTGAATGCGACGCGAGGTAACGTGTGCATCGCGAAAGGGAACAAGCTCTCTAATTTTATCGATCGACCATGACAGGCATTTATCCACAATCGTATGCGATTTAAATAAATTCGACAGCGCCCCGAACCGATTTAAAGAGACAAGTCGATGAAGGAATTTCAATGAAATTGAAAATAATAGAAACACAATTAAAAATCGTCCCAGACAATGCGCGCGCGTCCAGACACTTGCCTTAAATCAATCGTCGTTGTGTGTAGCTATAGCTGTAAATTCCGGTCAACAAAGGGGGAGCTCTTTTTTAATGCAAATATCAAGTTCAAGGCGAGCTTAAATCCGCCGGCCGTGACTCTCGATGGGCACGAGAACGCGTCTCGTGCGACATTTCAAAACCATTCTCACGAGGAAGTACGTAAGTACCATGTCATTGTCGTACGTGAAGAGAGAGAATCACGGGTAGCGTATTACGTGACCGAGCCCCTGTAGCTGTTTAGATCTAGATGAACCTGAATCATCAAACCGGTCTGAACGCGCGGTCGCGTCGTGACATGGCTCAGCACGACTCTGTTGTATTAGGTCAAGACGCACGTTGTAGCACGCATGAGTTAGAATAGAGAAAGATCGACCGCTGGAGAGTCGACTCGTCTCGATAAGGAAAGGAAAAATGATTACTATGTATCAGAGAAAGAACTAAATAAATATGGTTAGATAAATGTATAAATGGATGAAAGATAAAAATAAGGTGATGAAATTAAATAAAAAGGAGGAGCGAAAAAAGATAACTGAATGAATGAAGAAAAGAATATTAGAAATTATAAAGGGAGGTATATAATGAGGATGTAAATGTAAAGCCATGTTTTCAGTTCTTATTTTTAGAATTCCTCTGCGCTTTTTTAGTTGTGCAACACGAGCTATAATACTATAAAACATAATAAATTTGTAGTCCATAAAAATATTTTTAATTTTTATTAGATATTAGATTTATTAGATTTTTGCTCTTTCTTATCTTACGTCATTTTAATATTTTATATTAAATGCAACGCGTATATATCATATGTATCAAAGAAAGAACTAAATAGATAAATATATAAATAGATGAAAGATAAAAAAAGGCGATGAAATTAAATAAAAAGGAGGAGCGAAAAAAGATAAGCTGAATGAATGAAGAAAAGAATATTAGAAATTATAAAGGGAGGTATAATGAGAATGTAAATGTAAAGTCATGTTTTCAGTTCTTATTTTTAAAATTCCTCTGCGCATTTTTAGTTGTGCAACACGAGCTGTAATACTATAAAACATAATAAATTTGTAGTCTATAAAAATATTTTTAATTTTTATTAGATATTAGATTTATTAGACTTTTGCTCTATCTTATCTTACGTCATTTTAATATTTTATATTAAATGCAACGCGTATATATTATACACTGTTAATCGTATCGTAATATATATCGATATTGTACCGGAAATGCATATCGATGTTGTGAACAAGGAAGGCTTTCTCCAGCGGCCTTGAACCTCTATTGAAGCCTCGCAGCTATGTAAACTTGAACTAGTCTCTTACTAGTCCTTACAACAGTCAATATATTCACAATACACTTTATAGAGATGATAATAATATTTATCAAACAATTAAAGAACTTCATTTAAACGAATAATGGAGCAATATTTTGAAATTTAAGAATAGATTTTGGTTTCGTGGGTCAATATTGTACTTTTTTTCAATATTTTACTTTTTATATTGATTATCGAGCATTTCCAGATTTTAATAAAATTCAATTTCGAAGATTTATATAAGTAACTAGGATGATATGTTTTTACTATTGAGCATTCTGGTAGTCGAAGACAGTTCGAAGACAGTTCGTCGACCAGAGCATGTCGTTCTCCACTTTCGTTCTCCGTTAAAAAGCGCCGATGGCGATCACCCAACGAAAGCGAATCGCGTCGGCGAGAGTTTTAGAAACCGGATCGCGATCAACGGGGGTCCATGAAAAGTCGGTACGAGGCCGACGAACGCCGAGAGCGAATGTGAGAGCCGCTCAAGAAAGTGAAACTTTGTTTCTCCCTGCGCGAATCGTGACAAACCAGCTTTAACTTTCATCGCTATCAATTACCGATGCCAAACCGGAGGAGAAACCGGCATGCTCCGTACTAAACGAGATCTTCGATTCGTGCCATTCGCCGCGCTTTGATACAACCAGATGCGAGAAGCGTACGGTGAATCCTCGATTAAAATCCCAAAATCTACAAAATTCTACGTCCGATACTAAAACTTCCTACCAAGCGTACGATTTATTAACGTTAGTGAATCTATTTATTTCTCGTAAACATTCTAATTTTTAATTTGATTCTATTTTATCCAGCGAAATGGTCGTTCGCCGAACCTCCAAAATCACACGTAGCTACAAATATGTCAGTGCACGTGATACTATGACCTACTTCTACGCACACACGCACGTTGCGCTTTCTCCTTTCCTCGGCTCGACTCGAAACGAGTGAATTCTCCGTCTTGATCTCTCTCTGTTAGCCTTGAACCTGGTCGAGAGTGCAAGTGGATCGGCATCATGGCAAAACGTGTGGCGGGACGTCGGGCAGAGAGAGGAGATAGGAGAGAGACTGAGAGAGATATATAGTTGCTGCCGATCGAAACGGTTTTTGGTCGCCTTCGACGAAAGTGAAACGGCCTTCGAGAAGGAGCTTCCCGCGTGCATATGGACGCCATTGAACTAGTGACCTTCATATGAGAACCGGTCTTTGTTCAGGGCCCTTAGAGTTAGCGACCTAGCTCGCCGTGGGCCCTACTGCCTAGGCCTGCTCCTTCTGTAGACAACAAGTCATTTACATGCGACCAATCCGAGCAAGAGATTACCTTTCAGCTTGCTTTCGAATTCGATCTAAAAATCGACTTCACGTCTGAAACTTTCTTTGGAAATCGATAGAAGGAAACATTGCTTAATGGTTTATCAGATTTACATAAATTTATTAATAACCGTACCGTAAAAAATCGATGAATTTTATAAGCGCACAGTTTTATATGCGAATGTATTTCTTCACTTAAAAAAAAAATTTTGAAACTTTGATAAAGAAGCGAGCGATAAATTCCTTCGTGATAAAGCGTCAATAAAGTCAGGGTTGATGTCTGGAAGGTTATCTAGGATTTCAATGTTTTTGGCGATTTGTATCATAAATAATATACTCCTTCCAAAGCTCAATCGTTTTTCTTTAAATATGATATCGATCACGATACGAATTCATCCAGTCTTTCAATCTCGATAAAT